ATTAATTTAAGTTTCTACGTGGTCAGTGAATTTAAGGGAGATTTGTCTGATGAGTCTTGCAGCAAATACTTCTCTGGAGAGGTGCAGAGAAGGGGGAAAGGAGGAGGAATTGTCTCTTCCCTGAGCCAAGCAGSCAGCAGTGCATCTGTGTGAGTGTGTGCTGGCCATACTAATCACAGCCCTGCACAAACTGAGGTGATGGGAGCAGCTCATTAATCTGCTGATCACCCTGCAGCTTTCTAAAAACCACTGACCCCTCCTTAATCCTGCTTTGACTCCAGCACCCAGACTGCAGGGGTTGCAGTTTGCCCTGCCCCAGTCGCAGAGTGAAAAAAAAAAAAAAACAAAAAAAAGGTTTTCTGCTGTTAGAAATGAGAGCCAAGGGGCTGGGAATCTGTCTGGATGTGGGGAAAATGTACCTGGACTCATCCCTGCCCTATAGAACCACGTTTCAGGCTCAATTTTGATTTCAAAGCCCAGTTCTGGGCTCGTTGCACGATCTGGATATTAAAAAGCACTGTCAAAAAGAAGGAGGAAATTTCATCTGTGTCCCGCACAAAAATGTCTTTCCTCACGATGGCCTTTGAGCCTCCCCTTYCCACCTTTCTGTGGGGATAAATCACAGGGCAAAAATATATTCCTGTAACTCAGACAAGAGCAAGAAACTCAGGGAGGAGTTTCTGTTCATGGAGCGTCTCCAGGCCAGGGTCTGGCACCAAATCATCTGCCAGAAAAAAAAAAAAAAAAAAAAAACCCAACATGTTTAATTACCTGCATTAATATTCAGGTCCTGGAGTGCTCAGCATTTGTATTTATTCGTTTTTAGAAATGAAACAAGCTTTCCAGAGCACGGCTGCTGGCAGCACRCTCCCTCGAGGCCCTGCCTGAGGGAATATTTGCCATTTTGCATGCACACATTTCAATTGGTGACAATGGGAATGATTGATTAAATGAAATCAGATGATTAATTGACAGCTGTAGGAATCAGCTGGGGTCCGAGGAAAAGCGTGGGGAAGGCAGGTGGCTCATTTTCAGTTCAGTTTCACCCCAGATCAGGGGTTCTTTGGGATTTTTTACTGAGGGGGTTTGAACACTGGAAGGGATCAGGGCATTGATACAACAGAGGGAGGAATTTTATAGCAGATCCCAAACTTCTCCCAGGAGTGTCTGGCTTGGTTTGGAGGAGAAGGGACCCAACAATGGGTTCATTTGCTCTGTTCTGTGGTTATGGCTCTCCTTTCCCTCTTCAGAGATTTTTTTTCATTTTATTTTTTGCCTTTTTCATTTTATATTTTGCCTTTTCTATTCTTCTTTTGATTTTGCTTCCTGTTTTGTCTTGTTTATTCCTCTGCAGAGAAGGAGAGCRAGGGAGAGGAACTCCTTTGAAAAGTCTGGTTAAATGAGCTACTGTGGGAGTCCAAACACTCTTTATAGGCAAGAAAGATGCTGGAGAAGCAAGTGCCAGAATATTAAGCTGCTTGCTGAATTGTGGCTGCAGAGAGTGCTCTGAGGAGGGACAGAAAAGGGGACAGGGACACTCATTTGCCCAGAATTCCACCAGYCCAAGCCTTCAAAGGTTTCAAGCAGTGGATGGAGTTGGGTTGAGTGCGAGTGGGAGAGATGCAGGATTTGGGTTCAGCTCAGCTGTGGCAGAATTTGCATTTTGGCTTTCATCAGCTTCTCRTGGGCTGCACGTTTCCATGTCCAGCTCTGGTCTGATCTGCATCTGAGGCTGGTCCTGCTCACTCTGGCAGAACATACATTTTTTGGCTGCTATAATTTTTTAAATTTTTCTTNTCTAGAAACAGCTGGGCCCAAATCACTTTCATTCCTGTATCATTATTTTCACACCACTTCCAGCTAGTTAGAGCTGTACTCTGTACTCGAGGCAGGGTGGGAGGTGGGTAGAAATGACATTTCCCTCCAGCACAGAAAATAAACAAACTCTCCAAACCAGAACAAGAAGTTTTCAAGAGAAATGCCATTCTTTTTGTGTAACCCCAAACAGCAGCTGCTTTTCTGGCACTGCAGCTTCACCTGCTGAACGTGGAAAGCAGAGTGAAGACCATGGAGAATGTTTTCTTGCCTATAAAGAGTGTTTGGACTCCCACAGCAGCTCATTTAACCAGAGTTTTCAAAGGGGTTTTTCTCCCTCACTCTCCTTCTCTGCAGAGGAATAAACAAGATAAAACAGGGAGCGAAATAAAAATAGAAAAGGCAAAAAAAGAAAAAAAAATTGAAAATTTGGGTTCCATGTCCTTCTTCCCTTACTGAGGGCCATCTTGTGGGATTGGGCATTGCAGGTTCCCCTCGCTGTGCCCTTGTCCATGAAGCCCCTACTGAGCTGGGCATTTTCATGTTCTCACAACCTGCACACAGCACAAGTGTCTGCTCATGGATGGAGCTTTCCTTGTCCTGGTAAAGCAGCAGCTCCAATTCCCCCAAAATGCCTCCACCATGCAGCTGCAGTCTGAGTCCTGGGTGTGAGAACAGACACAAAATACTCAGGCAAAAGCTGTTGCCGTGGTGAGGACAGAGGCAGCTCATGTTAGCTCAGACTGCTGGATCAGGCACAGACAACCTGCAAATGCTCCACAGTATTGAAGGATTTGGGATAGAGGGAGAGGTTATTCAAGGCAGGTGTTTCAGCTCCAAAATGAATACATGCAGATAAATCCTCTGGGTTTTTCACTGAAGGATAAGCASAAGCAAATTTCAAGAGCTGGAGAGAGACATCAGGACACAAAGAGAAGCTGGGCAGTGAGAGATCCTGAGAGGAGGTGTGGTTTGACTATCAAAAATGAACASAGCCGAGCACTAGGAATTTCCCAATGATGTTTATTTTTCCTGTAGCCCACAGACACAGCTGGATCTGGCAAACAGAGCAGATTCCTTTTTTCCCATACAGTGTCCATGTGACACAAAGCCCAGGCTAACACTGTCATCAAGGACGTTCCGAGGGGCAGCAGCAGCAGAAGCAATGGAGATGGTGGACAGCAAGGCACGAGGGCAGGGAGCACCTCCTCTCCACTGCCAGAGAYGGGGTGCAGATATGCATCAAATCATTTTTTTTCTCATCTACACCAGACAAACACAGCACCATGCAACACGATCTGCAGCTGGAAGTGGGTGGAGAGCAGGATGTGGGCAGTTATTGCAGTTCTTTGAGTGCAGGACACAGGGAGGGTCTGGGGAGTGAGCAGGGTCAGCAGCTCTCACAAARCTCCCCAGGGGCATTTGCTTGGAGGGAACCACAATTCTCAGGATGCATCTACCAGGACAGACCTTTCCCTTGGAGCCAGATCCACTGGGCTGCATCTCAAAAGCAGTTCAAGTATCTAAAATACCGTGGAAAGAGATATCTGTTTTCTGTGCAGGAGGTGGATTATTGTGGTGTYTCATCAGGTTAAGGTTCCTCCCCAGGTGCTTTCCCTCCCAGCTCTGGCCCAGACCTTCACCTTCCACAGCATTTGCTGCCCAACCTGGCTGAGGGCAGCACCACCTCAAACATCATTTCCCTTCTAAAGGAAGATTTGGAAGAACACCTGATCACACTTTGCTGTTTGCAATCCCCCCTCCTCCCTCCAGCCCAGGCCACTCGGTGTGTGCTGTGCAGCTGCACAGGGGCACAGCCTGGGCTGTTGGTGACAGAGGGTGTCACACACATGGCACCACTGCCTTCACTTCATCTCACCCACTCACAGACCTTCCAGCACCCAAACACTCCTCTTCCAAGTGGTTCCTTCATCCCAAGCAACCTGCACAGAAGCAGCAGCCAGCCCAGAAGTCTCCACAGCGCAGGGTGACCCGTGCACCCCCTGCTTGCAGCTGGGACCTTTGCTCAGCCCTGGAGACTGAAAAAAAGGCTTTGGGAAGGGCAGGGCAGCTCCTGAGCCAGCACCACGCCCTCGCCTCAGCCAGTCACTGTACAAATGGACAACACACACACGTTATTTACAGCCCCTTTTTCACATGATGGAGCAGCTCTTGGCTCGGTCTTTCCTGATCTCTGTGTCCCCCAGGAAGTCCGTCCTGCCGGGCATTTGTGACGCCCGCTTCAGTCCCCGCTTGGAGTTGCTGCGCTTCAAGTTCTTGTGCACCCTGTTGACYGAGGCGAGCGTGGTGACATGGAACACGTCCCGGACGCTGTTCTCTGACACCTTGGAGGAGCACTCTGCGTAGGCCACCGCCCCGATCTGCCGTGCCAGAGCGCTGCCCTGCAGCCCGGGGAGAGAGGGAGGGACAGGGGAGAAGGTTGAGGTACTGCTGCTCTCCAAGGAGCCTGTCCTACAGCCCAAAGCCTGTCCTACAGCCCACAGCCTGTCCCACAGCCTGTCCCACAGCCTGTTCCATATCCCACAGCCTGTCCCATAGCCTGTCCTACAGCACACAGCCTGTCCCACAGCCAGTCCCATAGCCCATAGCCTGTCCTACAGCTTGTCCTATAGCCTGTCCTACAGCCTGTCCTACAGTCTGTCCCACAGCCGGTCCATAACCAGTCCCATAGTCTGTCCCACAGCCTGCCCACAGCCTGTTCCATATCCCACAGCCTGTCCCATAGCCTGTTCTACAACCTGTCCCATATCCTGTCCCCAAAGCCTGTCCCACAGCCTGTCCCATATCCTGTCCCATAGCCTGTCCCATAGCCTGTCCTACAGCCCACAGCCTGTCCCATAGCCTGTCCCACAGCCTGTCCCACAGCCCACAGCCGGTCCCACAGCCCACAGCCTGTTCCACAGCCAGTCCCACAGCCTGTCCTACAGTCTGTCCCCAAAGCCTGTCCCACAGCCTGTCCCATATCCTGTCCCACAACCTGTCCCATAGCCTGTCCCACAGCCTGTCCCATATCCTGTCCCACATCCTGCCCCACAGCCCACAGCCTGTCTCATACCCTGTCCCACAGCCTGTCCCATATCCTGCCCCACAGCCCACAGTCTGTCCCATAGCCAGTCCCACAGCCTGTCCCACAGCCCTGCCAGTGGCACCACGGGGACACAGCGGTGTCACAGCCCTGTGAACACAGTGCAAGGCTCTGGGAGAGCTCCAGAGGTCAGGGCAGCCTCCTGAGCTGGTGCAGAGCTCTGGGCCCTGAGTTGCCAACACTTTCTCATTCACACAGTGCCACCCCTGCTCAGAGCACAGCAGCAGCTCAGTGCCCCTGTCCCAGCTGGGGTCTGTCACCAGCCTGGAGACACTGCTGGGCCACTGGAGSCCACTGGCAGCAGYCCCTSACACCCCCAGCYGTGSYTTCCTTCCCCTGCAGTTTTGTCCCRATGCAGAACTCMAGCAGKAGAGTCCCTGGGAGCAGAGAGGCTGCACTGAACCAGGAGATGCAGAAGGACAACACTGCCCTTTAGCCAGTCCAGCCTGTCAAATCAGGCATTTCCACCTGCTTGGAGAAATGACTTTTTGGCTACTAACGGGGTGACTGCTCAGCAGAGCATCAGGAATAAACCAGGGTCTGCCAGAGCTGGGGACAAGGGTGCTGTAAACACAAGCAGCCACCACCAAATCAGCTACAGACAAGAGCTGGGTCACAGAGCACCTCAAAAAATTAGAGACCTTACTCCAAAGGAAATGTATGTGTGTTACAATAAATTAAAAAGTACCCACTGACATTTTGAAGAACTCTTTTTCAAAAATGCAGTGTCACATTGCAGTGATAGGCCATTTCAGATATGCAATATTAACGAAAAATTCAATTTTTCTACAACAAACGATCATRTTGAGGACATGTGTCCCCCCTGAGCCCTGCCCAAGCAGACCTGCTCGTGTGTCACGGGGATGAGGCGCTGCTTGGAGAGCTCCCGCAGGGTGTTGAGATCTGTCCTCATGTCCAGCTTGCAGCCCACCAGCACGATCTTGGCGTTGGGGCAGAACTCCTGCGTCTCCCCTTGCCACTGTGGAGGAAAGAAGAGGCTCTGGTGTGCACAGCTTTTCCAAACGGGGTGTCACAACTGTTCAGGCACTGATTAGCACGTCAGGGCTCTTTGATGATGGCCACAGGCAAGGATGGGAATGGCCAGAGCACCCCTTGGACAGCTTTATCCTCGCTTGTTCCAGGTTATGCCCTGCAAAGCTGCCCAATCCGAGCAGCAGTGCCCTGTGTGAGGCCACGGGAGGCCAGTCCTGGCTGTGGAAAAATAACATCTGGGCAATCTGGTGCTCAGATCTGAGACCTCACGGGTCAAACACGGCCAGCAGGGAGCTCTTTGCACTCTCACACACCATTTATTCCTGGAACYCACAYGTTAAARAYGTTATGATATTCACAGCATGGCTAYAGCCAGGGAAATTCAGGATTGAAGCAATGGAAGGAGAAGGCCGGGGCAAACAATGTTTCTCATATAAATGGTTCCTTTCAAGGCTCCCCAAATGAATGCCTGATGGCAGCTSTGCCTGCAGCAGTAAATAAATCCATCACCTGTGACCTCCCCTGGGGAGACCTGCACGGCTCCATCAGCATGTCAATGCCCCAGTTAYTTAGCTGGTGGTGCCCAAGTGGGAAGCAGATAATAAATAGAGATTACCCCAATTTAAGTCATCACTTGGAATTAGCAATTTCCTGCTACTCCAGCTGGTGGCTGAGCACATACCCTGGGCAATCAGAAGCAGAAAGRAAACCAAGCCACAATCAAGACACAACCAAGCCACCAAGCCCAGTGTCCAAAATCTCGTGGGAAAGTACCAAAAATGACCCAAACACCATTCAACCATTATCCAAAGCAACTACAAAATGTGAAAAATCTTATTTTCTACCAGGGGATTGTCTTAGATACCTTCAGGTGCCTGCTTGCCAAGGACCCAGGACTCAGGCACCCCCAGCCCCTGGAGATCACAGTGCTGCAGCCACAGAGCACCAAAGGCCAGCAGACCCTCACAGAACCTCACAGAACAGATCCAGATCCTTCTGCAGCTGGAATTCAATTTACAAAAAGGATTGGAGCTACTGTTCACACCTGGCAGAGGTCACAGCTTCTGCAGTGACATGGGCTCCCTGGCCTGTGGAGAGAGCTGTGACCCTCTCCCTGCATGACTGACACCTCTGGGAGCCCAAGACCTGCTGTGCCATCAAGATTTGTCAGAAGGAAGGCACCACTCTGTGAAAACTTGCTCTGCATGAAAGGCAGAGCTGCTTGCTTGCACACCCTTCAACTCTACATGCTGTACAGCAGCCCAGGCATCAGCAGGGCAGCATTAACAAAGATTTCCTCTGCTGAATTTTTGCCTCAGGCTTGAACAGGAAATGTTATTTTCCTTATTTGTCTGATATCACAAGGTAAAACCCATTTCAGCTTCACGGTGTCTCAGGAATTTTCCTCAGTGCCATAAGGAGTGAGGAAAGGAAAGGAACCAAAGGAAACAAGGCTTCTACTCAGAGGCACTTAAGAAATCCCGTGGGATTTAGGGTTTATTTTAAGTCACCATATCAAAAAAACATTGCCCAACAGCACTCWAAGCATCTGTGAGGCTGTGCAGGGAAAGCAGGGTGGACTCACACGAAGGGTGTGCAGAGAGACATAAATAACTCCCAGCCCCACCTAATTATTGAAGGGTTTGTATTTCATTAAGGTCTGAGTGGCTCACTTGCATTATTATTCTGCTGACTCCCAAGCTGAGCAGTGAATTCTTTCAGTCCACATGAAACGAGCTCCCTCCACCCAGCCTGYTTGGTACCCAGGACCTGCTCTGGGAGCCAACACTGAGCCATTGACCGATTTCTCTGAAGGGTCTTTGTCCCCTCACCAGGACACTCCTGAGACAAAGASCCACTTCTCAGCCCTCCCAGCAGCTGAGTAAGAGGCACTTGCTTCAGTTTGGCAAAATGTGGAGAGGCCAAGGGGGCAGGCAGCACAATGTGGCACGTTCAGGCYGTGTCCATCCCAGCCCTGGGGGCTCTGTGAGGACAGCAGCCACGGGAAACACTGCTCTGTGCTGCTTTTCATGCCTCAGAGAGTGTCACAGAGCAGACACCAGCCCAGGCTCCCCCCAGGACAGGATGCAGCTGCCAAATGCTTTCCTGCACAGCAGCACCACAGCTCCCTGAATTCCATGGTACAGGATCAAGAGATGCAATCGACTGGAAAACTGCTCACCATCCCTCCTGTGAGCAGCATTCTGAGCTGCTGGACTTCACTCATCTCAGAGGAACGCCTCATGTGGGACCTTCTTGCAGAAGATCTGGTGCTCCAGAGCAGATCCCCAAGTCTTGGAGGCTCTTGGGACCTGCCAGCTGGAATATCAGCTTTGCTGAAAGCCTCTAAGGTGCAGGGAGGAAATTCTGGGCTGCTCCTGCAGAGCTCAGCCATCCACTTCTGCAGGGGCAGGCTCAGGGCCCTGCCTGCTCYCCTGGCCAGGGCATTGTTCCATCTTATCTTATTAATTCATAGCCTTGAAATTCAGCACCRCAGCTCATTATTTTTGTTGACAAGCTACAGAGGAATGATTGCTGTCTTTTTTTGCTATGCAGATGCTGAACTGARGGGAGAGCCAAAAAACTGAGCACTCTGCTGGCTTGGAAACAGGCACCAGAGGCCACTTCTCAGCTGCTGCAGGCAATTCACAGTCACTGGTGGTTCTGCTAAAGGAGATCCATAATACCTTCCAAAGTCTGAATGCAAAACACAACAAATGTCCTACATTTCTCTACATTTCCCCATTTTTGTGTGAACATAGACCCCACATAGAACAAACACAACAAATACCCTGCATTTCTCTACATTTCCCCATTTTTGTGTGTGTGAACAGACAGACCCCACATAGAACAAACAACAAATGCCCTGCATTTCTCCACATTTCCCCATTTTTGTGTGTGTGAACAGACAGACTCCACAAAGAACTAACACAACAAATGCCCTGCATTTCTCTACATTTCCCCATTTTTGTGTGTGTGAACAGACAGACCCCACATAGAACAAACACAACAAATGCCCTGCATTTCTCTACACTTCCCCACTTTTGTCGGTGTGAATACAGACAGACCCCACCAGAACAAACACAACAAATGCCCTGCATTTCTCTACATTTCCCCATTTTTGTGTGAACAGACAGACCCCACACAGAACAAACACAACAAATGCCCTGCATTTCTCTACATTTCCCCATTTTTGTGTGAACATAGACCCCACATAGAACAAACACAACAAATGCCCTGCATTTCTCTACATTTCCCCATTTTTGTGAGTGTGAACACAGACAGACCCCACTCACACCATGCAAGCCACCATGAGCTTCACCATTCACAGGGCTCCTTTCAAATGGAAWCACCTCTCATCCTGCACCAAGGAGAGCAGCTGACCATCCTCCTCTGAGCACACAAACTCMAAACTGGAGCTTTGAGCCCTGGGACTCACCTTCTTGAGCACGCTGTCCAGGGTTTCGGGGCGGCTGATGTCAAAGCAGATGAGCACAGCATCCGAGTCGGGGTAGGCCAAGGGACGGACGTTGTCGTAATAGGCTGAGCCTGCAGAAAGGGGTGGGAGGAGGGCAGTGAGCAGGTGCCACCCCACTGATGGCTTGGTGACAAAAAGGGACAGCCTGAGACYCTCAGCCCTGTAATCCCAGTGAGAAATGGAGACACTGCCACATAAAGCAGAGCGCTCTGTTGAAGGCAAAGGGCGTTAACCCAAGCTTTCCACCATAAGGTTCAGCAGAGTTTGGTTTGCAGAGGATTTGATTCTTTTGTGGAAGTCAGAGGTTTTGCCCTTGTTTTCTCACATTTCCCCTTTCACAGAGGTGATTTTGCCTCGCTCTCCCTCCACAGTGAGCACATCCTGGTGCAGCTGTGCTGCTGGGGATGCCGATCATGTCATGCAGGAGGGAGCTCAGCAGGGCTACAGCACCAGCCTTGCTCAYTCCTCACTGGTGAGCCTGGATCCCATCAGAGGGAGCTCAGCAGGGCCACAGCACCAGCCTYGCTCACYCCTCWCTGGTGAGCCTGGATCCCATCAGAGGGAGCTCAGCAGGGTCACAGCACCAGCCTTGCTCACCCCTCRCTGGKGAGCCTGGATCCCATCACTTGTCATGCCAGTGCTGCACCACTAACAGTGGAAAGGTTTGGCTGAGGGAAGACAGGGATTGTTATTGCTATTTTTCATCCTCTCTTGCTATCTTTACACAGGAGAGCTTGTTCACATAGAGATTGTAAGAATTCATGACAGGTAAAAATGAATTGCCTCTTTTCTGGATTTGTGCTGGGAAAAGTCAGATTCTTTTTGGTGTATAAGTGACAGGTGAATGAGCTATAAATGTAAGGGGATGATTCTGCATTCTGTAGGAATTCTGTGAGCAGGCAAAGAGCCCAGCCTGAATCCTGCACAGCTTCTGCCACACACATGTGCGCATGCACACACCTTCAATGCAAATTTCAGGCATTAAAGTCACAGTGTGTCACAGTGTTTTTATTTGCAGCCCATTCCGTTGGTGAGTGCAGACACTTCAGCGAGCAGTCACGGAGCAATCAGCTCACTGCTGCACAAAAACACTGTTTTGGTTTTATATTGCACAGACAAATGACTTAAACTTCCTGGAGGGATGAGAAGCAGATGTTTATTTATGAAAAGGGGGAAACAGAGACACCAGAGTCCTTGTTGAATCTGCCTCCTCCAAAAGCAGGATTGCTCATCCTCGGCTGAGGAAGATGGACATGTTCCTGCTGCAGCCCCTGGGGATGTCTGGGCTGGCCCTTTCCCACCCCAGAGAAGGGCACAGCCCAGGTGTCAGGTGGCTCCTTGCTGAAGTTCAGCACCTGATGAATTATGGATGATGGTGGCTCATGTTTCTGGAAGGATGGGAATCTGCCTGGGCTGAGCACGAGAGGAGGAAAGGCTGATTCTCTGCAGGAGCTCCAGATGCAGGTCATGGGGCACAGTCCCCCAGCACAGCGCTGCACACCAAGCACTCTGCAAACACCCTGAACCCCTGTGCAGGCCTGGGGAGCACAGCCTGACACTCCTGCCTCTGCCCAAAATCCACACGGGGCTGTGGGGAACCCTGCCAAACCCTGCCCATGCAGCTCAGAGCATGGCACCAGCAACAGCAGAGCTCCGGGGCTCTGACCAGCCCTGCCCCTGCCCCTGCCACGCAGCCAGGGGAAGGGGCCCTGGACTCCTCTGCAGCTGGATTCCCAGAAAAAAAATAGCTCCAGGTGTCTCCAGCTGTTATAGCCAGGGAAGGGAAGGGAAGGGAAGGGAAGGGAAGGGAAGGGAAGGGAAG